CTTCCTGAACTTCCCACGCTCCTGTTGGGGGCTAAGAACACGCTTATCTCCCTGACCATGGCCTTCATAAGTCCATTCCATCACAAAAGTGCACCTCTGTCCCCAGTAATTCAGAACATAAACAGATTTCTCTGAAGTTTTAGATACGTAATGTATAGTATTTCTTTTTCCCTACAGAACAGCGGGTCGGATTTGTGACCAGACTACTCTAGCCCCCAGCTCGCCTTCCTTGCACACACAAGTCAGTGTGAAGTCGGAGCGGGCTTCCCCCACAGCCAGCTGTTCCTCGGCTGCTCCCCAGCTCTCCACATCTGTGCGTTCCAACCTCTACAATGTCCCCATGGACCTCCATTCTCCGGAAGATTATATCAAGGGTTATCATTACTCGTTCCTTCTCTCCAGGCCTCTGACCGAAGAACAGAAGCAACCCAGTGCTCCCTCCCATCGCCTGCCACTGTCTGCTACAGAGGAGTGGCAGAAATAATCAGGGGCTCAGCTTGTTCACACGTACTCTGTGGATGTGGCTGTATGTACGAGCGTGCATATGTGCAAGAGAAAAAGCCACTCCAAATTGCGTTCTTCTGTCAGTCATAGTGGGGCCAGAGTGGGGAAACAACTGATTGCAGAATTGTACGTGCGAGAAAAGCCTCCCCTTAAAAGAAAAACTCAGGAGCTGGTAGAACAGAGCAAGTTATTGGCAGCAGATTTGAAACACAGAAAAGTGTCATTCTTCTTCCCCTTGTGTAAAAATTCTCCCAGCAATAAGCAGTGGTGATTCTGCTTAGGTTAGAGATGGCTCTGAAAAACCTTTCGTCAGAAACGGTGAACTAAGGATAATGCTTGTCATTGCTCGCTTGTAAAATGGGACTTCTGTCCACAGGCAAAATACTTTGGAGTCGCAAACGTGGCTAATCACCAGCATAAGTCCGCTGCCTTTAGAAAGGTGGGAAAAGAGAGACGGTAGGAGAGGAAAGATGAGTTAAGGCTGATAAGGAAAACTGCATTTTTTTCCCCTACTTGTGATGCCTCGTGCTTCAGAGAGAAGCCAAAATATTAATGATAATAATAATGATCCTGAAATTGCATTGCTAAGAATATTTTGTCCAGAGTGACACATAAGGCTAGTGTTTGAGAAGTTTGGCCAGATGTTTGGGAGGAAGGAAGGCCCACCTGTCCTTTGCACAGTGATTTGTCAACTAAGCTGCACATGAATTGCACCCCTACTGCTGCCTGGCAGGGTATTTATGAAGGAGAAGTCCACAATCTGTTGCCTCCCTACCCAGCCATGTTTCAAATAAGCGCTTGATTGTAGGTTAATGTACATCTCGCACTGAGCTACGGTGTGATTTGCTTGGTCTCAGCTTACTGCAGTGTGTGAATCCAACCAGCGTGGCATCTTAAAGCCAACTGAAGAGAATATCTGTAGCTGTTGAACTGTGGAGTCCTTGGTGCTCTCTGAGCTTGGTGATTGTCTGCAATGACGTTTTACTACCCAACTAGGTAACGTCATCAGTGCGCGTTGGCAGAGGAATTCTGGGAGTTGAAGTCCATACCGCTTAAAGTCGCTAAGGTGGAGAAACTGCCAGAGCCTTTGCACCACAGAATGCCAGCAAAGCTTCCTTTCTCCATTAGCCCTTCTCATTGGCCAGTCAGCCAGCCAGTGGCAGACTCAACTTGCCCGTTGCAGCCAATCAGCATTTGGGAGGCATGTTCTGTGATAGAGAAGCATTCTTTTAAGCTGTTCTGTCTCCCCAGCTCTTTTTCTTGGAGGTCTAGTTATTCAGAATGGGTCAGTTTAAGTTTAGGTAATCCCACAACATCACTAACCAGGTCAAGGGTGTTGAGGGAGGGGGGTGTTAAAAAAGTTCAACATGACAGCCATGAGCACATGACTGAAACCCTGCCCCTTTTTATGTTTGTGATGCGTGTAAAAAGGGGACAGGGCTTCAATTGCACCATTGCAGCTATCATCTTGACTTTTTTTGCCCTCCCCCCCATTCCCATAGTGGGAGAAGTTACTTTATGCAAATGACCGTTTGCTTTGATTAAACTGACTGGATCAATTAATCTCTTGTTGATGTTCCAATAACAAATTAGCATCCTGCCATTAACTCAGATGAATGTTCCATGGAAGCAGGGCCATTGAATCAGGAAGTAAGCACACAAGCTGTATTCACACAACCCATGGCAACACATTTCATCCGGGTGTGTTGTGTGAATCCTGACTAAGTGTCTGCAGGATCACAGCTGAGTGATGCTGTGACAATAGCGCTCAGCATAAGGCTATATATTAAATTCTTGGAGCAGGCTCCGGGAGTCCACATGCACGCACATAGAAACCGGTGGAGCTTCAATCACACTGTTGTGGCTGCCACCTTGACTTTTCGACCACACCCTGCGGACACCTCTGGAGCAGGCAATTTTATTTCCAGCAGCTAATGGTCAAAGAAGCAGCCCATAAGAGCAAGGATCTGTGAGAAAAATTTGTTAAAGGCCAGTCATTATCTGTGCCTTTTTATTTTCCTCTGCTGGAACAGACGAGGCATCTGTGATCAAGCTGCAGGAATCTTCCTCTGCAATTTAAAAGTGCGTATTTCCCCAGGAAAAGGTCCCTGGAATGAATATAAATATATAGGCAAATATATTTTCCTTTTTTTGTGAAATAAGATGGAGTGTCTGGACTATCTTTTCCTTCCAGAGTGGTTGTGGTAATCTCTGATCCCAAACCTTTCTTTCATTGCCCCCAAATTCCTTTCTGACTTAACCTGCTAAAATTTGGTAGTCCAGAGACTAAAAATCAGTGGCACACCTGTCACTAAGGGAAATGCAGAGGGCTGTAGTATAAGATTTGAAGTAGAATTACATTGTTGAAGTATATATCAATTTAAAAATAGCTGGATAACTTCTCAAAGCCCAAAAATAAACACAAACTTTCACGTTGCCCACATAACTCCACCAGTTTTTTCATCATCACCACACCTACTGTGGCCTCAGGTACACCACACCTTGCCAGCCACCAGGAGGTCACCAACCCCTGTAATTAAGCAAGGTACTTTGTGTATGTTCAGAAGCATTCTTGCCATCTTTAAAAGAGCATTTGTAAGGATTCAAGCAGAACTCTTGACAAGTGGGTCAAAGTGAGATACCTTTCAGGGTCATTTTCCTGCTTTTTTCACTGAACTTTTTTGCATTTTTTCTAGTTAGAGAATGTTGGTGGATGGGGACAAATGTCTGCAGATCCCAAACATGTCATTTTTATGTTTCTCTGATAAATGGTTTGAGAGAGGGAGTTGTGGTGTCAGAGTAAATGCAAAATGGACATTTTTGCCACCCTATCAATTGAGTACTTGACATCTATACAGTATGCTGAAGGGTGGACCATTTTCAATGATTTGCATTCAAGTTGGAAATAAAAATAAATGTCTTTCAAATAATTCTGGTATCTCAGTTGTGTTGTGGTTTTCTGCCTCCTTGTATTTGTTTGCTATGGGGAAATTGCTTCCTATCTTGGACTTCTGCGTTCACACAACACGCTTAACCATGTCAATGATAGCATTCACACCACATGCTGAGTTTCACTGGTTTTGAACCTTCATGTGTTGGGGGCATGCATTTGGTCAGTGTCTGGTTCCATGTGTTCTTGAAATGGATTAATTAGGTAATCACTAACCACGTTGAACCTGGAGAAACCCCCCAAACCTTCATCTGTTTTCTGTGATGGTGGTGTAGAGTTAAGCTTCTACCACTAGATGGCGATGTCTATTTTTTTATAAAGCTGCTCCCTGAATATTTTCTGCTTCTGCAGATTAATTCAAAATAGTTGAATACCTTATAAACCTGTGAAGGGAGCATGATCCATGAAGCCCCTCTCAACAGAGATTTTAAAAGCTATGGAGGTGCAGTCCTATATTCATTCATTAGATTTATACCCCACTTTTCCTCCTCGAGCTCACAGTAGCTAAAAGCTTACCCTTCTCCAATATTCATAGAATCATAGTGTTGGAAGGGACCTTGGAGGTCATCTAGGGCAGTGTTCCTCGACCTTGTCAACTTTAAGATGTGTGGACTTCAACATCTTTCTGGCTGGGGAATTCTGGGAGTTAAAGTCCACACATCTTAAAGTTGACAAGGTTGAGGAACACTGTTCTAGGGCCCAAGGCAGGAGTCTTCATACCATCTCAGACAAATGGTTGTCCAATCTTTTCTTGGAAATGGAGCTTCTGTGGCTAAGGGGGGTGGGGGTGGGCTATAATCTGGGTCTCCCTGCTCCCAGTCCAGCACCTACACCTTGAACCCCGATGCGGCCTTTGGGCTGAGGAACAGAAACTTAGCCCAGGGATCTTCTGGGGCTGGGGTGGACTTAAATATGGGATCTTGAAAGAGGACAAAGTAAAGTTGGAGGAGGTCCAGAAAGGGGCAGCAATTGGTTATGTTAAAAAAAAAGACAGCAGGAACATGAGAGGCCCATAAATTAACACAAACTCTGGAAAAGCTATTGTAGAAATTCTTCACCCAAAACCCTTCACCAAGGTTTCTCAACCTTGGCAACTTTAAGATGTGCGTACTTCAACTGCCAGACCCATGCTGGCTGGGGAATTCTGGCAGTTGAAGTCCACATATCTTAAAGTTGCCAAGGTTGAGAAACACTGCTCTACATCATTCCAGAGCAAAGGACAATGGAGTTGGGTTAAGGAAGGAGATTCCAGTTGAGAGCTTTCTTAAAACAAAACAAAACCCATTTTCCTAACAGCAGTTTGGCAGAGGAGCCAATCACGCAAAGAAGTAATGGGCTCCTTTTGACTGGATGTGTCTAAATGAATGATGGACAGCCGTATTTTAGAGATGCTTTAATTTGGATTCCTACACTGAACAGAGAGATAGACTCAGTGTATATGGCACCTTGCAGTTGTAGGGATTCTTTACATCAGTGTTTTTCAAATTTGGCAACTTTTAAGAGGTGTGGACTTCAACTCCCAGAATTCTGGGAGTTAAAGTCCACACCTCTTAAAGTTGCCAAGTTTGAAAAATACCTCTCTACATGAAGGGATTCAACAGTTACTGCATTTATATCTATATCTATATTAATAACATATGCAGGATATTGGTTATGGTTCTATATACAATAAAATGTCATCAAATTTTTTCTGCAGTGTTTACTAATGCACATCAATATATCCCATTCAAAAGCATCTTGATCATCGGTATGATTGCATTAAGATTCTTCATACACCATGTGCCCATAAATTCCTGCACATTGGTGAAAGATCAGGTGAGAAGACTTTCAGCATAGAGTCACATCAAAATTATTTTGCTTTTTTCTGGTGTTTTATCTACCTGCTAGCATACTGGCAAACTATAAGGCCTTAGGCAGTTCAGCAAGACAGAGATGAGGGTGATAAAACACAGATAAATGGAAGGGACTGAAAAATGAGACAAACTTTTCTCGTCTCTGTGAACAATATTTGGCAGCTAAAACATGGAGCTGGACAGGGTCTAAATATCCCAATTACATTTCAGAAACAGGTTCTAAAGTCTAGAGATCAATTCCAATGGAGAATTTTGGAAGAATGCCCACATGCATCAGAAGAATGGGTGTGACCCAGAAAATAACACTGCCACAGCTGAATAGCTGTGTCAACCACGCCAGGTAATGCATTTGCACATTTTCTCATCCAGTATGTTGTGCAAACTCAGCCTCTGGTGAGTTTACGGTTCAGTGCATTCTGCGGATCCAGAAAACAGCATAGTTCAGTAACCAGATTAAGCTTGTGTGAATGCAGCCGATACGTTAACCTTTGAAATGCCACAAAGCAATGGGATGTTCTGTAAATCTACAACAGCCACCTGAAACCATGGGCAAGGTGGTCTGCAAAGGATGCAGTGCGGCCTTGCTTCCCAAAATGTTCTGCTTCCTCCCAGCAAGAATCAGTGGAGGGCTAGACCAAAAAGGATTGGAAGGAATTATAGTTTTTCCCCTTTGCTTCTTGCTTCTAAATGTTTCCCTTTCCTCTATTTAACAAAATGGAAGATCTTTCATTTCTTCCGTTTATCGGTACTTAGAATAAAGAGGACCTTTCTGTGATCTGCATAGATACTCAACAAATTCTTGCCCTAAATCTCATGGAAATGTATCTATCTTGTGAGATTTGGGCCACTGGAGTTTGAATTCATATTCCTTCCATTTTGAATCTCTGCTGATTGTCCCTGGTGCAATCTCGGTTTTCCTTTCCAGATATACAAATGGCAACCCCCAAATCTTTCAACACCATATTTGCCATCCACATAAAGGAGAAGGTCGGTATTGGCTGATCTAGAATCCAGCCTGATCTTGTTCACTTCATCCTACATGACACGGTTGATTTGGGGGTACACAAGACTGTAACCCCAAACGCTGGGGGCAATGCTTGATAGAACTAAAAGGAGCAAATTCACACATATATGTTTCTACGTCTCTGTGTGTGCAAACACACATTCAGATATAAATATGCTATATAAGTATATAATTTCTAGTTGAACTCTAGGGCTTTAGAAACAAAAATTAGTTCACCACCTTTAGTGATTTTTCTCCATATTTCTTAGGCAGCATAACTTGCCTTTGACCTTACAGCCACGTTCACACAACATGGTATGCCCTGATGAATAAATCATATTACAGATTAATGTGCGGGCCTGATTTGCATAGCATGCAAAGCAACATGGAAGGATCAAAACAGCCTTTCAAAATTAACGAGAAGAGAGGCAGCGCCTGACCAAGCCTGGCTAATCTAAAGGAAGGGTCTGCCCAGCAGCAGTGTCCACAGGGTATGGTCAGAAAAGTCAAGATGGTGGCCTGCCACGACACACCTAAACAACAGGCAGAGGTTTTGCCTGATGAACTCATTTTTGTATCATATTTGTATCTGAATGTGTGTTTGCACACACAGAGACATAGAAACATATATGTGTGAATTTGTTCTCTTTAGTTCTATCAAAAATTGTACCCCCAAATCAACGGTGTCATGTAGGATAAAGTGATCAAGCTTTTTTGGTATTGGCTTATTTGTCGGCGAATGTGCTAGAAGTAAGAGCTAAAATTGAGGGAATGCAAACATTAAGAAAGGAAGAAGTAGTTTGGGTTTGGTTTAGGGTTTGGGGTGGGGATCCTGCCAATTACGTGCCCGGTTAAACGAAAGTGTGGGTTTCCTGGTGCCAAGGCCAGGAGGGGATCACACGAGAGACGAAACTCCTAACCGTCCTGCAGCTCTGCAGACAACCTGGGGTCCCCGCCACTCGCCCTCGGCCTTGCCCACCTCCCAGGCTCTTTGTAAGAATAAAACGCAGTCGTGAGAACCGGCCGTGAGTTCTCAGACAGCGTCCTCCATAAATAAGCAGCCAAAGGATCTTGCCTGCTAAAATTGCCCCCCCCCCCCGAATCTTCCCGAAACATGTGCGCTCTGAATGGGAGAGACAAACAGCCCGGCACAAGGGGACAAGGGGGGGATGCCACCTATGATGGCCAACGGTGCCATCCACACGGCCTTCTGATTACAGCCGTGGGGTTTGGGGAGGGGGCAGAGACGGGGGGCTGCTTTTGTGAAAATGCCCGCCTGGCATTCTGTTTGATCTTAACCTGAC